AATGAAACTAAGATTTAATTGTCAGACTTTTAAGCCAGATCATCTCTGTTGCCAAAATCACTCATGTGACTTAGGAATCACAGAATCCTCTTAAATGTTTTATTTGGTTCTTAGAATTAAAATGACTTTTTCAAAAGTATATAAAGTTAAAACTTAAGCATAAAAAACAAAGAGAAAATTTTTTAAATCTCCAAAACTCAGTTAAAATTCTTGTTACTATCTTGGTAGATGTTTTTCTGGACATCTCAGTATATACACATGCACACACACTGATGAAAACACCTAGTTTTATATAAACAGATTAATACAACATATGATATTCTATTACTTGTCTTTTAGGGCTACTCATCATTTTCTGTCCACATCTGGTTGGTTTTTTTATATCAATAATAGATATGTACCTCATAATTTTTAATGGTAACATGAGATATATACATACACATTTTATGTCTCTGACCTATACGCACAAAAATATCTATTGATAGATATTTAGATTGCATCTTTTTTCTCCTCTCTTTCTTATATGTTTAGTTAATATCCTTGCACAGTAATCATTTTGCATCTGTACAATTATATATGTAAGACAGATTCCTCGAAGTCTTGATTGCTGAGCTCAAAGACGAATGCTGATGTATATTAATTACCAAACTGCCCTCCCAAACTTTTATCTCAGTTGAAACTTCTGCTGGCAAAAAGCTAGCGCACTTGTGTTTTACATTTTCCCAGTATTGGGTTTTGTCTTTCTTAAAAATTGACAAATGATTCCAAATTCTAACATTATTTTAAAATTTGCATATCTTTAATCCTATTAATGAAGTTATACATATTTCTGAATGCTTATAGAATATTCTTCTTTTTTGTTTTATTGCTTCACTATTTTTATCAAGATGGTTGTATTTTTCTTACTGACCTGTAAGAGATCTGTGAATATTGATATATTGTTCTTTGTCTGCAAGTTTGTCATTTGATTTTTAATTCTGTGCATAGTGATTTTTGAATTAAATAAAATGCTTCTTATTTATTTGTTTTTTTGTGTAAAATTTTTGTCAAAAATTTATCAATAGTTTCAAGCTTTTGTTCATTTTATAATATCGAGCTTTTGTATCCAAAGGTTAATAATGACCTCTGGCAGAAATATCTATATTTTCTTGTAGCAGTCTTAGGGTTTAATTTTTTTACATGATAATCTTTAATCCACCTGGGATTTATTTTTCAATAAGAAGAAAGATAATTCAGATTTGTTTTTTACCTCAATTGCTAACTAGTTGTCAGACTTCATGAATATCTAATCTTATAATTTGATTTAAACTTACTTTCTGATATTAAATTCTCTTATAGTTTTGAATATACTTCTGGGATTATCTTGTTCTGTTGATCTATCTATTTCTGAATAGTTGTTATTGAGTTTTTATATCTGTGGATTTATGCTATTTTTTATAAATATCCCTTCATTTTTCATTGTTTACAGATTTTGTCTACTTTTGTATATTTACTTGATGAACTTGAATCATTTGGTCAAGCTAATGAAAGAATTGCTAGGATTTTCAACTAGACTTGTATGATATTTTTACATTGATTGAAGGGAAAGTGGCACTTTTATAGTACTGGATTTTTTAATAATTTTTTTTCCTCATGGATTCAGGCATTCTCTTAGGTCTCTCAGTAGCATTTCATGTTTTCTTTTATATAGGCCCTGATCATTTAAAAAGATTTTTCTAGATATTTTAATTTTTTGATTGTTGTGAATGAAATTATTTTCTTCCACGATATTTTCTGATTGTTAATCCTTTTTAAGAAAGCTATTGACTTTTGTTTATTTATTTTATTTCCAGACACTTTAATGAGCACTCATATTTTTTCCTAATCATCTTTTGGTTGATTTTAGCTTTCAGATGTCTTCGATGGTAACCAGGAGACTAAAGAAGAAAATATAATTCCTTTATTGTAGAACATTACTTGAGGTGATTATAGAATAGAGCCTAAAATAGGAAAGTTTATGGAATGTAATTTGTATATCCAGGAAGGACTGAGTCCTCACCACTGAATTGTAATATAAGTCAGACTAAATATATTAGAATGAATAAGTATGCTGTTATTATGAGATTATTTAATATTCTGAGATGTCCTTTGATATTCAATTAATTAACCTCTCAGGATTAATCTTTGTGGATTCGATATTACTTAACATGAGTAAAAGAGAAGCTAGATTTAATTAAGCCTTAAGGTATAAGTTCCTTTTTAAGTAATGAAAATGTGAAGGATGGAAGGGAAAATTGAACCGACTTCCTCAAGAATTAAGAGTTCACCAGGTTGTGAGTTCCAGGCTTGTTAATTTTTTAATATGACCCCACAAATACAGTATAATTTCTCATCCTGTCATGAGTAATCCTCCTTCCTCCTTCCAATGCTTGCTGCTCTAAGACTACCCACCAGCCCAACCCCCAGTAAGATGGTCTGACAGTGCCATCTGGTGGCCACCTAAGAAACTATGTGAATTAATCTCCCATTGGACCTGCAGCCTGGGTTGATACAATATCCTGGAAGCCAGATCCGGGCTTGGGAGAAAGCATTTTATGCCTGTGGCCACAGCCAAAGAGAGATGATCAAAGACCAAGTCCTAAGAAAAGTCCAAAGTCCGAGTCCAAGAAGGGAAGCTTGGAAAGAGCCCGGGCTCCATCCACGGGAGTTGATAAAGGGCAAGAGCTAGGTCTAAAAAGAGAGGTCTGCAGAGGAATTTTAGCAGGAAAAACTTGGAGAGAACCCCTAAACCAGAGCAAAGACAGAGTTTTTTTTGGTTTTTTTTTTTTAGTGGAACTTATGCATTCAGCCGTAGGGCATGGATGAGCTTGATTGTGAGCTTCCTGTCAGTTCTAACATCTTTCTTCAGGGGTTTCCTTATGTACCTTTTTTTTTCCCCCATAGCTTAAAACTCAGATAATTTCAGAGATTTTCAAATAAGGCCAAAGCTCCTTCACACTGACCTTCTCTTGATCTTTCTCCTCTTCTTCCCATCCGTCCTCTTTTCCCCCTCCTTTCTCTTTCCCCTCCCTTTTCAGCTCTTACTCTTGAGTTCTCAGGAAAACCCCCTTCCTTCTCATCCTTCATTCTATCTAGGAGCCAAAGCATAATCCTAGTTACAGCTGAAAACCCTAGAGATTGTGCTTGTGGGCCAGCTTTATTGTGGACAAAGGAAGGCAGAAGTGAGGATGAAGAATTGGTACCACTGACACCTGCATGTTTGGGAGGAGGGGTCAGGGGTCACTTTAACGTAACCACGAGCTCAGTTGTCCTGTTCACCCCTGCGTGATTTCCCCATGTGCCTGCATTCAGGGTTTGTGTCTCTTTCATTAGTTTCATATTTCCAACATTTAAAATGGCACCTGGCATATAGAAGGCACGCTGTTGATATTTGTTAAAGGAATGAATGAATATTGCCCCTGAATAAGCAAATCTGGCTGCTGCTGCTTCTTTTTTTTTTTTTTTACTGTAATTCAGTTTTGCCTTATTGTAAGTGTTACATTGATGCTAATTTTCATTATGACTTTTGTGAGATAATTCGAGCATAACATGCGAGGGTATTTCTAGCACAAAAATTATTATTTTTTAAACTCCAACCATCAAGTGACAGACTTTCAGAAAATAGCATGTTGGTAAGTTGGTCGTTCTCTGTACCTTTCCTTTTGATGTTTCAAGAATATGTCATATATATATATATATATATATATATGAGAAAACCAACAAAATGGCCAGGTTTACCTATCTTGGATTCTCAAGTGCTCTTTGAATCCCTTCTCAAATAGAAGCTAAAACCATTAAATATAGAGAAGAAAACAGATTTGGAAAGCTGAAAACTACCAAGCATTTGGCAGAACATCTTGCTGACTATGTTTTCCCTGTTTGCTGAGTCTCTCTTGCATTATAAATCCTTGATAACAGACACAGAGAAGTATTTATTGTCTGTATAGAACTAAGCACAGGGGAAATGTTGGATTTGCCTAATATTTTTCAGAATTATGCTTTTCCTTGTGATCCTCCTTAGAACTGGAAAGATGAGGCAGACTGTTTTTATTTTCTAATGATTGCTCCTAGGACATTACTCTTGCATGAGAATTTTATGGGGATAAAAAAAAATGATCACTTGCTACTTTCCATTCCAAAACCCTGCTGCTCCTGCTGCTGCTAAGTCACTTCAGTCGTGTCCGACTCTGTGCAACCCCATAGATGGCAGCCCACCAGGCTCCCCCATCCCTGGGATTCTCCAGGCAAGAACATTGGAGTGGGTTGCCATTTCCTTCTCCAATGGATACAAGGAAAAGTGAAAGTGAAGTTGCTCAGTCGTGTCTGACTCTTAGCGATCCCATGGACTGCAGCCTACCAGTCTCCTCTGTCCATGGGATTTTCCAGGCCAGAGTACTGGAGTGGGTTGCCATTGCCTTCTCCAAAACCCTAGGATTTCCTAAATATCTCACAGATCTCTGTGATCTTAGAGAAGTGCTTTCATTTCAGAGCAAAGGGGAAGTGAAAATGAATTCAGAGCTGGCCTGAATTCAGACAGCGGAGATCAGTGGGTGAATAATCTCCAAGTGTGGTAGACCTTGGCTAGCCTATGAGGGTGTATCACAACATCCCACCAGGCTTGACATTTTGTCCCTAAGTGATTTCAGTGGCAGCAGTCATGGGGTGAAGGCGGATGTTGAGTCTTTGGTTCCTTGACCACACAGACTGTGAGAGGCTGCAAGGTATGAAAAGAGCATGGCCCAGCGTTACAGGCAGAGGGCTCAGGCTGAGTGCTGGCAGCGCCTTTGGCTGGCTGTGTGACCTGGAATAAAATACACAGCCTCTCAGAGCCTTAGTCTACCTTTCTGTGAAATGGGAAGACGGATGCCTGCCTAGAAGGGACTGTAAGGAAAGGAGGCACTAGGTTCACAGCCTAGCCCCTCGCTAGTGGTACTCCCCAGTTGATCAGTTGTGATCATGTTCTCTTCCCACTTCTCTCCCAGGTACCTTGGTATCACGAGGCCGCTGACATACCCCGTGAGGCAGAACGGGAAGTGCATGGCCAAGATGATCCTCTCCGTCTGGCTTCTGTCCGCCTCCATCACTTTACCGCCGCTCTTCGGCTGGGCTCAGAATGTCAATGATGGCAAGGTGTGCTTGATCAGCCAGGACTTTGGCTACACAATTTACTCCACCGCAGTGGCATTTTATATCCCCATGTCCGTCATGCTTTTCATGTACTACCAGATTTACAAAGCCGCCAGGAAGAGCGCCGCCAAACACAAGTTCCCTGGCTTCCCCCGGCCAGAGGAGCCTGACAGCGTCATCTCCCTCAATGGCATGGTGAAGCTTCAGAAGGAGGTAGAGGAGTGTGCAAACCTTTCGAGACTCCTCAAACACGAAAGGAAAAACATCTCCATCTTTAAGAGGGAGCAGAAAGCAGCCACCACCCTGGGCATCATCGTCGGGGCCTTCACCGTGTGCTGGCTGCCGTTTTTCCTCCTCTCGACCGCCAGGCCCTTCATCTGTGGCATCGCCTGCAGCTGCATCCCACTGTGGGTGGAGAGGACATGTCTGTGGCTGGGCTATGCAAACTCTCTCATAAACCCCTTTATATATGCCTTCTTCAACCGGGACCTGAGGACCACCTACCGCAGCCTGCTCCAGTGCCAGTACCGGAATATCAACCGGAAACTCTCAGCCGCAGGCATGCACGAGGCCCTGAAGCTCGCCGAGAGGCCTGAGAGACCTGAGCTTGTGCTGTAAGGTCATTTATCACTGTTTTCCTTCTATCCCCCCAACCCTCTCATGGAACTCCTTTCTGAAGCACATGGCAAAAAGCTTCCAGACCAGTAGCAATCTTATTTCCTCCCAAGTGTATCAGATTTGAGTCCAGAATACTGTACTCTAGTCTTCCACCCTAGAGAGTTCCAAAAGCCAAAGATAGGTATTCAGGTGGATTGGAAGAAGAGACTGATTTGCTGATGAATCGCAGTTGATGCCATGGCTGACAAGGAAGGTGATGTTTTTCCTCCTTTCTCTGAAAGTAGCATTCACTTTAGGTCCTTATAGCTCTAACTCTTGTAACATTATCATGTTAGTTGCTATTACTCTTATATCTAGTAAAGATAAAAGAAATAGTCTGAGGCAGTAGGGAGTGGTCAGTGTGGGGAAATGCCAGAGTGGAGCAAAGTCTTGACAGATACAGAGTTTTCAGAAAGTGCTACCCAACCAGGAGTTGGGAACTGATAGAGAGGTGTTGAGTTTGTCTAGGAGGCAAGTAGTGACTTTTCAAGACACAATTACAATAGGACGTTGGAATCTGAAAAAGGACCACAAAGAGCCAATGGTGATAAGGAAATATAACACACATGTAGATTCATTTGGTTTTGTGAAGAAGGAGACAACATAGCAAAGTCATCAGGTCCAGTGAAGATTTTGTTTTAAATTTGAGGTAGAGGAGACATTTTCATATTTGAAAACTGAGGGGAAATAAACTAGATTGAGGAAATAGAAGGTGCTGGTTAGAGAACAGATCAGTGTTGAATGTGAGACAAGAGGTGTCCCTCTTCACTGAACCTTGTTCTTTGGAATTGGCCAGAGAACCTTGGGCTACTGTAGCTGAGAAGGGCCTTCCCAGTCATCGTGTCCAGTCCCTTCCTTTGACAGAAGACATAACTGGGTCATGGCGAGTGAGCTATCATGCAGGGGTCACTAGTACCTCTGGGTCTAGATCCCACATCATGTGAATCTTACCTCCAGATGCTCTCCATATACTAGACTGCCTTTATGTGTAATCAAGCTGGCCAAGGAGACCTCTGTGCTCTCAGCTATCTCAGGGGAATAGGGTCCCAAAGTGCCCTCATGGGTTATGGTAGATTCCAGGGCTCCCAACTAGGATACACCCCAAACGACTCGGAAAACCTCAAGGAACTCAGCTTGTTCTCTAACTCATCACCAGGATGAAGGAGGCAGAAACATCTCCCTAATATGGATAAGGGAAACCAGAGATCATCATTTCCTGTCCTAGGAACTCAAAGTTGTAAGACTACAGATATGCTAATTCTTGAGCTGTGAAATAGCTTTACAGGTATTTATTTTTACTTCTATTCTATACCCTGTTTTGTACATAAGAGCTTGTTCATAATAAAAAATTAGATTTAAAAAAAAAAAAAATGCAAGGACTTCTCTGGTGGTCCAGTGGTTAAGACTCTGAACTTCCGTTGGAGGGGACACAGGTTTGATTCTTGGTTGGGGAAATTCCCCATGTTGCATCAAAAAATAAATAAAATTTCATTATAAAAGAATACAGTCTTTTGGTTTCAGAATATATGCAATGAGCGACCTGTATTACCAAGGATATTTCCAGGTTTATAAGATTCTTATTGAATCAACCACTAGTGTTTATCCACCAGGACCGGGGTCTAAATTCCTTCAGGGAAAGAGCCATGTCTTAGCCAAATTTCTGTTTGTAGAATCTAGTACAGTGCCTGACACATAACAGATAATCAAAGTAATAATTTCTAACAGTTATTGAATACCTACCAGGTGCTGTCGTGTTTATCATTCTACCTGTAAACTAGCTGCTTCTGGCACTCCCAGTTTTTAGAAGAATAACAGGCTTGGGACATAAAGTAACAACCTAAGATTACATAGTCCTGAGTGGTGGATGTGGTATGAATCAGCCCAATGCATGTGCTCTTAACTATTGTGTAACCCTACTTGTCAGATGACTTCAGTCTATAGTAGCAATGAGCTTGTGGATGTTTTGAGCTGGGGATTTTAACCATCGGTTCACTAAGAAGATGTTTAGAAAAACCCATTAATAGGAGGAAGTTAAGTTTATTAGACTTACTGCAGTTTAAGAGGACACCTCCTTGACAGAGGCTTGGTCATTTCTCTGGTGAGGAAATAAACAAAGGTTATTGATAGAGTTTTGGAGCTTGGGCTGGGTAGTGTTAGGGCAGAGAAGTGAGGACTGGGCCGAGTTTATGATGTGTTAGCTTTGGATGGGTGGGTACAGCTGAGTGAGGACCTTGAAGCCAGTTTTAATGAGCAAACTGTCAGTCTTGAGGGGTAAGCTAGTTCAGTTGGTGTGCAGTCTTATCTTTTAGAAGCAACTATTTCCTGTAACAAGTACTGGGTTCTTTTGCCTGGCTTCAGAGTTGTTCAGCACAGGAGCAGGAAAGTGTGTTGGTTTCAGCTCCCAGGAGTAACATGCTGAAAGATGTGTTTGAAGAGAGTCTCTCTGGTAACAGTGAGAAGGGCAGATAAAATAAAAAAACTGATGGCAGGGGGTCCAGTTAAGCAGCCAGTGTAGAAACTAGGAAAGAACCACTGAGGTGCTGAACTAGAAAACACCACTGTGTTAGTTTCCCTTCTACACAGTCAAAGAACTCGAGGATAATTTTATCAATTACTTTAGCTAATAATTCACACATAATTCAGATAATTCAAAAAAATGCTAATTTTTCAAACATCACACAAACAGGTTTTCCAGTTTAAAATAATAGTTACCCATGTTTATTGATGATTCACTGTCAGATATTCTTCTAAGCACTCCATGTGAATTATGTCATTAATTCTTAAAACCTTATGGGCGGTTGGTTTCCTTTATCTTCGTCCTGTTGGGGAGGTCAGATAATTTTTCAAAGTCTTACTTGGGGAGCTGAATTTGAGTGCAGGACATCTGTTTTCAAATGCATTTTAAACTTCCATGCTGCTATGACTTTTATAAAGGTATTTATATCAGCTAACATAACATCAAAAGATATTTGCCTCTGCATCTTTAGCTAGTGTGGAGTCTTAGGTCTTAGTTTTTCTGTTAATCTAAGACAAGGATCAGCAAACTTTCACTGTGAAGGGCCAGATGGTGAATATTTTGTTTTTCTAGCCATATGGTCTACACTGAAAATACTTGTTTCCGTCTTTGTAGTGAGCAACAAGTCCTAGACACAAGTAACCAAATGAATATGGTGGTATACAAATAAAACTTCATTTACAAAAACAGGTGGAAATCTGGATTTGGCCTCCAAGTCATAGTTTGCTTTCCCCTGGTCTCAGAAAATGATTGTGTCCTCATTACATCTCTTTCTGTTTAAATTTTTAATTATTGATTTTATTTAGAATTATGGAATGTTAAAATCATTTGGGATGATGGACCTAAGTATTCATTAACTCTGGGAAATTTCTAATTAGTTGGAATAGCTGCTATTTAAAAAATTCTATGGCAGGCAGTTTTCTTTTCAATTCTAATGTGGGAGGACTCATTTTTAAATTCTTGTTTATAACTGTGTCAGGCATTGAGGAGGATACAGAAAACATACGATGTCTTTCTTGCCATAGTGTGTGCGTTTCTATCACACAGACTAGATGTAAACATACACACCAGCTCATTTACTCTTTTTGTGTTGAGAACCCAAGGAAAGTTGGAGACAGGAAAAGCTATAGGATTCAAAGAAGAGGAAAATAACTCAGTGATTTCCTTACCTCTGACCAGGGAATACTTCCTGAAGGATATGGGCTCAAATATGACTGTCAGGGTCAAAGCATTTATGACTAACGGAGACTAGAGATGGCATTCTTCCTGAAGGGGACATTTCCTATAGAGGTGCTGATGTGAGAATTTATGCAAGGGACAGGTTGACTGAAGCTAAGCATTGTTGTAGGGGAGATTTAGAGATCATAATGGAAAGATCAAATAAAGTAAATTATGAAGGATCTTCCATTCCAGTCCCAGAAATTTTAGGGATTTTTAGTGTAGGCAAATGGTTCTCAATCAGGGTTAATTTGCACTCCAGGGATATTTGAAAAAGTCTGAAGATGTTTTTGATTGCCTCAGCTAGGGAAGGGGAAGACCTCCTAGCATCTAGCGGGTAGAGATTGAGGATGCTGCTAAACATCCTGTCTTACTCAGGCAGCCGCTGCAGCAAAGAGTTACCCAGCCCAAAATGTCCATAATGCCAAGGTTGAGAAATCCTCCTGTGCGCAGAAGGAAGCTATTGACCAAATCTCTACAAGTAAGGAAAATGGAGTCACCAAAACCATGAGACTGATTTGGTGGTATCATGTGGAATGAATTAGAAGATAGAGGCTGGAATTAAGGCATCTCTTCATTGGCTTGTTTTCTCCAGAAACATTTGAGAGCCTGTTATGTACAAGGCATGGCGCCAGGCATGGCAGTGATAGAAGGACAAATAAGTGACAGTCCTTGCTTGCCTCTGGAAGCTCACAGATCCAGTGGGCTGGGGTGGCCGTAGACATGGTGGGAGTGGTGTCTAGTAAATGACTAGCAACCAGAACCCCCCCTATGGTACATGCTCTGCACAGCTGCATTTAAGTAAACACCAGCTGCATAACCCCAGTCAATCCTAACTCTACTTGAGTCTCTGGAATAATGATCTGGTATCCAGTCCATAGCTCACAGCAAGTCTTACAAGCCTTGTTCCCCCTCCCTGACTTTCTGGCACACACATTTCTTGGCCAACCTCGAGACTCTGGGCTGCTTCTTCCAATCTCTCCAGCCTCCTCTCCCCCGACCCCCCGGCTCCTTAGGTTCTAGTCTCTTTTACTTTTGCCCCAACTCCATCTTCTTGGCTTTATTTTTTCCTCCTATGTAATAGTTTTCCTCCTTTCCTGTATAAACAATCTACTCAATTGTGTATTGCTACTTCTAAATATTTCCCCACTTTTTTTGATCAGCATAACGAGAGGCTCAGGAGTCTGGCAGGCACTAGGGAGTCTTCCTTGGCTAGGGAGTGAATAGAGGGAAAAGGCTATAAATACTTCATTGTAATTATAATGCACTACCCTAAATTACAGTCTTTGTCACCTTTTCACAAGTATTCAAATACTGATAATATAAAACCAAATGTGATAATGTGATAGAAGCAGGGACTTTTTTTTTAATTTGATAACTTTATTTATGGATTTGCTTTGAATCGCCAAAATGCTAAATGGCTTTTAGGTGTCACATTTGGATGACTTTTGTTCTTCAACACCATTACTGTGAACAATATTGAACAGCAATTTCTAAAATACTTCCGTGTAAAAAAATTTCATCATATTGTTTCCAAGTAGCTCTGCCTTCCCTTCTCCCTTCTTCCTAGCAAAGAGACTCTTACAGTCCCTGTCCATTGCAGTTGTAGCGGAGTCACCTTGAGTTCTTGTCCTGAATGCTGCCCCATGGTGAGTACTGAAGCTTAGGAGTTCAGAGTGAATCTGCCGTGTCTTTATGGGCAAGGAATCACTTAGGAGTGATTTTAATCACTTAGGAGTGATTAAAAAGAATAAGATGAAATGGGTCCTGTTGAAAATTGGGAAGAAACCTCATGACTCTTGAAACCCTGGATGTCTGTGGTAGGATGCTGTCTTAGAGACAAAGCCAAACAAAAAGTTGGTTGTTTCATTAATTTTTTTTCCCCTGAGTAGTATTTTCCTCATCATTAACTAGCTGGAATTCAACTCTTTATTTTTATTAAATCATCAATTAGTACTAATAATAGCTTGTTCACTTCCTGCTTTGTATTTGCCTACATTTGAACTTTGCAGCGTCTCTTTAAAGTAAGAAAGGCAGGCAATTGACCTCACTTGCTTCTTTCTAATATTTTTGTTTGTTTTCTTAGTAGACAGTAAATACACACAGCCCAAGATAAAATCAAGCAGTATAAACATGTCTACAAGAAAAATAAGCCTCAGGGGGATGTCTTAGGAAGAAAATATCCATGATGGAAATCATGAAGGAGATGATCTTTGGGGGTGAGTCTTGAGTAAAGAGTAGGATTAAGGGATGGCAGGGGTGGAGGTAGGTTGGGGGCTACTCCAAGAAGAGGGGACAGTATGGACAGAGGGACTTAGAAATGGACAGAGACACAATAAGACTCTTGTCTGTGTCTTTAGTAGGACCTGGAAGCTGGGTAGATTGGGGTCAACTTGGAGGGCATGTTGGCAAAGTGGGCAGGGAGAGAAATGAAGGTTTTTGAGCTGGAGTGAGAAAAGATCTACTATATAAATAGGAGTTCACAATAGGAGAAGGGAAATGGGTAGGAGACCAATGTAAGAGTGATGAGGCCTGTCCGAGGAAGGCGGGCATTCAGACTAGGAAAGAGACCAAGGGTGTCCGGACATTTGGAAACTGACTAACAGGTAGGTTGTGAGGGAAGTGGAGCTTCAGAGATGGTGCTGGAGCCTGGTGGGATTCAGCAAAGCTCATCAGCAGCTGTGAGCCTCAGAGGAACTGCAGTCTCCTCTGTGCGGAGAAGAGGCAGAGTTCCTGGGACAAGAATAAGTGTGGAGCCCCGGTGGGGACACAGCCTTTTCTCAGTGCATTTTCCTAGCTACCCAGCAGCCTGGAGCCGTGGGTCAAAGCCAGAGCGTGGTGCTTCCCCTCAGGCACCATGGTGGGGGTAACGAACAAATCGAGGGTTGGTGTCTTATGGAGAAACCAATCCTGTCACCAGGGAGACTCACTCATCAAGTCTTGACAGCCACGTGAGGAGGCACTTTCAATGGGATCCCCATTTGGGGATTTGCCCCATTTGGGGCAGAGGCCCCGAACCCTCTTAGATCCAGCTCTCAAGCACACACACAGATGTAGTTTGGTAAGTTGAGATGTCCTATGAAGGTACTGAGTTAGAGGAGTTTATCTGGACGGATTTGGCTCTACGCTAAGGAGAAAGGGACTTTTCTTCAGCTGTTGGCCAAGACTTCTCCTGACTCATGCCATTTCTGTGAATCTGGGAGGAAGGAAGCTAGGAAGGAGGGGCTTCTCGGTCTCTGCACACATGGTTTATGGTAATGCACCCTTCTAAGTTTGAAGGGGAGGACGCTTCCCATTGTAGTCATCATGATTCTTTTTGGGCACAGCAAATGCAGTAGTATTTTGAAAGGATTATTGAGAATAGAGCCATTTGGGGCTATATTATAAAAGTGAACTTCTAAATGGGTTATATGGAGCTGGTTTGCAAATATATTAGGGCCTCTGCAACTTGTAGATGTTACGAAATGTACGACAAGAGTCATAACACTTTTTCTTCCCCCTTAGATGCTCATATCCCCTTAGAAACCACAAATAATTCAAATTATTAAACGTTGTAAGAATTAAATCCACCCACCACAAAACAAGAACTCACAATTACAGTTCTGCTAAATCATTTTCTTGCATCCTCTTTCTCTCTCTCTCTCTCTCTCTATAGACAAAACTCTGACTACTGTAGAAAAAAAAGTCATGATTCATGATCAAAAGCAGAATAATGGAGATGAAATAAACAAGGCAAGACAGAGGTGGAAACAGAATGCAATCATTTGCCGAGACTTCGGAATGGAATGCGGCGTCTGTCCTTTCTTGGGATGGCTAAGACATGACCAGCAAAGTATATCCACTGTTCAGAGTATATCGTGAGAGGGATGGTGACCTCTCCTTGTGTTCTGTGGATCCGTGCTATTGTGTGCACGTGAAAATGGCCTGATCGGCTCAGCTGTAAGCGCACACACAGAACTGAGTTCCAGAAAGAACACAGTTTCTGGTGCTTTGCTTCTGTTCAAGTCTGTGCAAATGAAGAAGTTCCCATGCATACTTCCCATGCTTTTGAGTCTAGGCCTTGTGGTGAATATCCAGGAATCATTCATGAGACAGATGTATTTTGCTGTGGGACAGAGGGTGTTTTCCTCAGCCCACTGCGGTAAGCCTAGTGATGAATACATTGCATGTCCACATTAGAAAACAGAACCCTGTCATCAGCTACTACAAATGATCTCCCAGAGCAGTGTCTGTTCAAGGCTTCTGTCAAACAGTTTGGCTTTTTTGCAGGGTCCCTGTGACGTCCCCACCAGCCTCCTTTGTTAACTCGCTTCTCGTTCTGGAGTAACTCAGGAACAGAGCTCAGGATGGAGTGAATCTTAAAAGCTGAATAAAGTGGTTTTTTTTTTTTAATCACGCTCAATCTTCTCCTGGGGGCTCCTGAGAGGGGAGGGGCATTCCTCCTGTGAGGAGTTTTCCCTGGATGGAGAGCAAGGGCTGCCTCCCTGCCCTGGACACGAACATGATGGTTGGCACAGAACTTGTGACTGTCCTTTATACCTGGGTGCTGTGGGCCTGCGGGCTGGCTCCTAACTGTGAGGTCTGGGGGAGGAAGGATGGTAATAATGGGCTTTCCATGCAAGGCTGTGATGCTTTTGGAGATGGAGCGTCCTTGTGCTAATTCTCACTGAGCAGCGTTGTATGTGTGCCCCAGAGGTCACCTGGGGCAGTGTTGGGAAGCCTCTGGAGTACCATTCTGTTCCTTCTAGAGGGTTGGTATTTGTGTTCTCTGTATCTGAAATCACATGTGTGCCTGGTCAATTCTGTTCTCCCCTGTCCCTCCCCAAAGTGATGGATATTCAGGGCAGGTCAGGACATGGAAAAGTTCCCTTTGTACTTGGCATTTTTTTTTTTTTAATGGTTCTATGTAATATGTATGAGTTAGGGAGACAGAAAGTAGATCAGAGAAGAGTACCTCTAAGGGGACAAAATGAATGCACACCTTCATTTGACAAGAGAATGGAAAGAGAATATTATTTTCCTGCAATATGTGTAGCTGTTTTCTCACAGGATAATGTGGAATTCCAGTGTGGATGGCAAATTTCTTCCAACTTTTCACTGACTTTGCTTCTTACCACACACAAGGAAGGGTCTGTCTCTCTGAAAGGGGAGGTGGGCACTGTCCTTTCTGACAAAGCTTGTACCAATTCCTGAACTGTGGATTTGCTGAAGTAACTGTATATACTTATATCCATAATTTAAATGATTCATTCTGGTCAGGTAAATGTTGTTAAATTTGAAAATGTTTTATTACATTACATCAAATAAAGTTTATTTGTAGCTGTAATAAAGCAACTTAAATAATGACTTTTAATTGATGGTCTGATGTTACAAATGTCACTCTATGTAGAATAACAGAATGGCAAACTTTATGTATTTGCTGCAATCCTAACAGGTAGCTAAGATAGTTCTGTAATTAATTGCATCCATTTTGTAACTTCTTAAAAATAGCATTTGATTGAAAATTGATTTGATTAATAAGCATTTGTTAGGCTCCTGCTGCATTCAGCACTGTGGACATTGAGGGAACCAGGATGAGTAAAGCAAGTCCTTACTCTTGAGGAATTTACATCAGAAGGCAGACTTTTCTCAACTTGTTGCCATGTAGTATAGTAAGCACAATAGAGATTTTTAAGGAGTGACATGTTTCTTTCCTGTAGTTTAAGGCAGGGCCTTATGGTTAATTGGATCGATTCAGGTTTTCATATGTGTTTAATTTTTTAAATTAGGACCTTAGTTATTAAAATTGGTTCTTTATCCTGCCTGACTTGAACACCTTGGCCCTTGAACTCTCTGCCTCATCTGGTTACAGTGGCTGGTCACTGAATACTGTACATTCCTTGCCTAGCAGCCAAAGGAAAAGAAAATGTAGAAACTGGGAGAGAATGAGAAAAAATGTCAAATAATTTATACTATTTCATCTATGATGTAATTTGCACCAAAGGTACAGCTTTTAACTAAGAATTGGGAAAATCACTTAAAAATTTTATATGTATTTTTGGACTATTCAGCAACAGTGACTATTATAACTAATCTCTCTTCTGACTCTAGGATATCAGTTATTTTCTGGTAAGACCGAATATTGGGAATTGACACTTGTGAAGTGGCGTACTTGTAAGAGGTAACTTAGTGACTGTTGCCTTAGTGTTTAATTTTATTTTGTAAATATTAAACAGGAGGCACTCCTAGAACCTAGGTTTTCTGGAAACTGTTTCATAAATTCTTAAAGCATTTACCATGGTGTCATGTGCCTGAGATGCCTGTAAATGTTTTTGATGATCATATTTTCATGTAATTTTATTAGATTCATCGATTATAGGCATTACCTCAACAAGACAAAGAGAAAATTCAGGCAATTTTTCAAATAATTTATGCTATTGTAGTAATAATAGGTTTTCCTGGTGGCTCAGTGGTAAAGAATCTGCCAACCAATGTAACAGACGCAAGTTCAATCTCTGTGGGAGACGCAGGTTTGATACCTGGTTGGGAACATCCTCTGGAAAAGGAAATGGCAACCCACTCCGGTATTCTTGCCTGGAGAATTTCATGGACAGGGAACCCTGGCGGGCTACAGACCATGGGGTCGCAAAAGAGTCTGACATGACTTAGCAACTAAACAACAGTAACAACAAATATAATAATGTCTGAATGGCATCTGGGGATGATGAGAATTTTCCTTTTAGCATTTCAATTGTCCTGTGAGTTCTCAATTCAATGGATAGAAATGTTACAAATCTATTGAATTTTTTAAACAGTCCATGCTCCTCCCTGAGTATCTTCACAAATGCTTTTCTCCTCTGCCTGGAATTTCCTGTTCTCAATTATTGATTTTATGTATGTTTTCTCATTGTTTAGTAATTCTTCAAGGGCATGAACTGTGGCTTTTTCTTTTAAACCAATATTCCTAGCACCAAGCACCATGCTTGGAACTTGTATAGAAGGTAAAAAATGTTTCTTTTTTAAATTGAAGTATAGTTGATTTATAATTTTATGTTAGTTTCATGTTTACAATAATGTGATTCAGTTATATATTTATTTTTTCAACTTATTTCCATTATAACTTATTATAAAATATTAAATATCATGTGTTAATTTTATATCCTGCAACTTTACTATATTCATTGATTAGCTCTAGTAATTTTCTGGTAGAGTCTTAGGGTATTCTATGTAGAGGATCATGTCGTCTGCAAACAGTGAGAGTTTCACTTCTTCTTTTCCTATCTGGATTCCTTTTATTTCTTTTTCTGCTCTGATTGCTGTGGTCAAAACTTCCAAAACTATGTTGAATAGTAGTGGTGAGAGTGGGCACCCTTGTCTTGTTCCTGATTTCAGGGGAAATGCTTTCAATTTTTCACCATTGAGGGTAATGTTTGCTGTGGGTTTGTCATATATAGCTTTTATTATGTTGAGGTATGTTCCTTCTATTCCTGCTTTCTGGAGAGTTTTTATCATAAATGGATGTTGAATTTTGTCAAAGGCTTTTTCTGCATCTATTGAGATATGGTTTTTATCATATGGTTTTTATCTTTCAGTATGTTAATGTGGTGTATTACATTGATTGATTTGCAGATATTAAAGAATCCTTGCATTCCTGGGATAAAGAATATCGTTCCTTATAATATACAATAAATCATTGTTGCTTATTTATCTTATATATAGTGGTATTTATCTGTTTATCTCATACTCCTCTAATTTATTCATCTCCCCCATCTCTTTCCCTTTTGATAACCATAAGTTTCTTTTCTATGTCTGAGTCTGTTTGTTTTATAAATGGACTCATTTGTAATATTTCTTAGATTACACATGTAAGTGATATCATATAAAATTTGTCTTTCTTTGATTTGTTTCACTTGGTATGATATTCTCTCAGTTCACCCAGATTACTGCAAATTCTCTTTATGGCTGAGTGGTAATGTAGTGTGTCTGTATTAGGTTGGTACAAAAGTAATTGCAGTTTCAGACCATGAATTTTAAATCATTATAACTAGGCTCAGCTACCTCTTTATTAATCAAAACAGGAACCATTACAATCAATACATTTTTGCTGATGAGAAGTAAGTTTGTTTATTCATGTAATGTAAAAATCCATGCTTCGGGATTTCATGAACTCTTGGAAAGCATTTTCTGCCTCCTGCTGGTTGTGGATGCACTTTCCCTGCAAACAGTTGTGAGATGCTTGAAGGAGTTGTAGTTGGTTGGTGAGAGGTCAGGTGAGTATGGTGGATGAGGCAAAACTTTCTAGCCCAGTTCGTTCAACTTTTGAGGCATTGGTTGTCTGACATGCAATTGGGCATTGTGGAGAAGAGTTGAGCCCTTCCTGTTGACCAATACTGGCTGCAGGTGTTGCAGTTTTCAGTGCATCTCATTGATTTGCTGAGATACTTCTCAGATGAAATGGTTTTGCTGGGATTCAGAAAGCTGTAGTGGATCAGACCAGCAGCAGACAGCCAAACAGTGACCATGAGCTATTTTTTGGTGCAAATTTGGCTTTAGGAAGTGCTTTGGAGCTTCTTCTCAGTCTCACCACTGAGCTGGTCATGGCTAGTTGTCATATAAATTCGACTTTTTGTTGCACGTCACAATCCCATTGAGAAATGGTTCATTATTATTGCGTAGAATAAAAGATGGCACTTTAAAACAACAGTTTTTTAAAATTTCCTGTCATCTCATGAGGCACCCACTTAATCGAACTTTGTCACCTTTCCAATTTGCTTCAAATGCTGAATGACCGTAGAGTGGTCACTGGTGAGTTCTTTGGCAACTTCTCTGTAGTCGTAAGAGATCAGCTTTGATGATTGCTCTCTATTGGTCTTTGTCAGCTTCTGATGGCTGACCACTATGCTCCACATCTTCAAGGCTCTTTTCTCCTTTACAAAACTTCTTAAACTACTACTGCACTCTCATTCATTAGTAGTTCCTGGGCCAAATGCATTGTTGATGCTGCAAGTTGTCTCCACTGTTTTATGACCCATTTTGAACTGAAATTAAAAAATCACTCAAATTTCCTTTTGTCTATATCATTTCTATAGTTTAAGACAAATATAAAATGAACAGCAAGTAATTAGTCATTAGCAAAAAAACATAAAGTGAGAAATGCTCATTAAAATAATGTATAACATAATGACATTTATTTAAGACTGTATTCCAATATCAAACAGCAAAGTTCAACAATGTAAAACCAGTTACTTTTGCACCAAGCTAGTGTGTGTGTGTGTGTGTGTGTGTGTATGTGTGTGTGTTTGTGTATCAAATCTTTATCCATTCATCTGTTGATGGATGCAAGTTCCACGCTTTGGCTATTATAAACAGCACTGCAATGAACACTAGGTGCATGTATCCTTATTGCTGGATCATATAGTAGATATTTTTAAAGTTCTTTAAGGAATCTCCATACTGTTCTCCACAGAGGTTGTACCAATTTACATTCCCACCAACAGTGTAGGAATTCCCTTTTCTCTGTTCTCTCTCTAGCATGTATTATTTGTACACTTTTTGATTATGGCCATTCTGACTGGTGTGAGATGATATTTCATTGTGGTTTTGATTTGCATTTCTCTAATAATTAGCAATGTTTCCCATCTTTTCTGAGTTTTCCTGGTGGCTCAGGTGGTAAAGAATCTGCCTGCAATGCAAGAGACTCGGGTTTGATTCCTAGGTTGGAAAGATTCCTTGGAGAAAGGAACGGCTACCCGTTCCAGTATTCTTGCCTGGGAAATTCCATGGACAGAGGAGCCTGGAGGACTACAGTTGATGGGGTTGCAAAGAGCCAGACACGACTGAGCAACCAACATATAAATACACACAGCATCTTTTCATGTGCTTTTATGTCATGGTCATCTGCATATTTTTTTTTGGAGAAATGCCTGTTTCTGTTTGTTGCCCATTTTTTGATTGGGTTGTTTGTTTTAAATGAAATTGTGTAAGTTGTTAGTATGTTTTGGAAATTAACCCCTTGTCAGTTTGCATCATTTGCAAATATTTTCTCCCAATCTGTAGGTTTTTTTTTTTTCTTTTTGTTGATGGTTTCCTTTGCTTTGCAAAAGCTTTTAAGTGTGATTAGGCCCCATTTGTTTAATTTTGTTTTTATTTATTTTGCCTTGGGAGACTAATCTAAGAAAATATTGCATTGATTTATGTACAAGAAGGTTTTCCCTATGTTCTCTTTTAGGAGTTTTATGGTGTCATGTATTATTTTGTATATGGTGTGAGGGTGTGT